CTCTGCCAACTCTCGATCTTTTTATTTCTTGGAAATTGTCTTTCATTACAATTATTTTTCCTGTAAAATACCAATCGGAAGCATCGGATTTTTTGTACATATTTGAAAAGATATTGTGAAAGGTTTTGGCATTGAAACCGAGGAGTGATATGTATTGTCTGTGATTCCCTTCTTCGACTATTCTCTCTATTTTAATTTGTCCTTTGAATGTTTTAAATTTATCAGAGGTAGCCTTGATAACATCGGAAAATAGTGCGTTTTCTATCAATGTTTCATCGTCTGCAAGTTCGATTTTATTCATATTTTTTTAAGTATATATTTTTGATTATTTCTTTATTTTGACCGCTGATATTTCTGTATGGAATTTGTCCAAAATTTCATTGAATTCTTGTAATTCTTCAACTGATATGTTCTTGTCTTCTCTCGATCTTTCGAAAAAGATGTACAATTGATTAAGATACATATTCAAGATATCCGATTTCTTTTTATAATGAGTTTTCTTTTTGCTCGTGAAACCTAAAGTGATGAGACCGCAAGAAGTCGTTTGAACGGCTGTTAATGCAGCCAATACGGTTGGGACGATGACCGGAAGCATTAATCCACCAGTCACGGCCGTTGCCACCGTTACTCCTACCGTTAGAACTGTGCTCGCTGTTTTGAAAAAAGAATCGATTCTACTTCATGTTTTCCTGCATGTATTGCACTGTCTCAACTTTATTTTCAACTCTTCTTGTCTATCATGTATTGTTGTCTGCTTTCGAGTTCCATTTTTTAAGTCGTTAAATTAAGTGAATTTCCGATAAATGGAACCACGGAATATCGTATAGAGATTGCTTGTTTGGCCTAGCATGATTATATTTGCGGGTATTCAAAATAAAAACATTTATGCGTACTAACGACATTTCTTTTTTCGTATGGTCCTCTTTAAGATGATAGGAATATTTTATTTTTTCTTTTTCGATGTTTATCTTGGCTCTAGAAATAAAACCACCACCTTCAAGGATGGAGTCTTCGGCAAACGATAAATGCACTATAAACTCTCTTTCTTGTTGACTTTTATGAACATCCATCGAGGTGTATTTTTCACCTAAAGCGAAATACAGTTTTACGTATTCAAAGTCTGTTGTTCGTAAAAACTCGTGACTGCTCGATTCTATTTTTCCGTGTACGTGTAAGCGTCGTGGAATTTTGACAATGTTGGTTGATGGTGGATTTTCCGTCTCCAATATCATATCCAAATCTTTGATTCCAATGATATCCTTATCATTTTCTACTTCCATTTTAAAGGTGTCTACATATTTACCATTTTTCGTTTCAATTTCCTGATCCCTTTTATCAATCAAACGTATATTCTCTTCCAAATTACCATCATTGAATAATGAAATATGTTTGACGGCATTACCAGTTTGTTTGAAGACTACTTTATTGACTTTAACCTTCATTGGAAACTCTATTTGAATCAGACAATTACCTCGAAAAGAAAACTGTTGCGTTTCCCCGATATCGAATACGTTTTTAGGTTCTCCGTATGCGAGAGTACCTACTTTTATTTCTGCTTTGAATCCGTATTTGTTTGATTTATAAATTTGGTCTTTTCTATCGAAGACAGTGTCACTTTCGAATGGAAGATTGAAATAATACGATTTGTCCGTGACAATAGCTTCTAATTTGGTCAACTTTCTCTCTTGTCTCAAAAAATCGTCATGAATTCTAGATACCAAAAGATTGACCTGTTCTTTAATATAATTTTTCATATCATCTCGAAATTTATTTTGAAGAAAGTTTTTAATCACACCCACTTCTTTTTCTAATTCGTCCGTGATTCTAGTATCCAAAGCAATCAATTGTCGTTTCAACGTATCTTTGTCAATGGGAAGTGTGTTAATTATATCTTGAACATCTGATTTTTGCTTCGCGATCTTTTCGTTCAAATTGGATATCGAATTTTGTAACTCGGTTTTGTCTGCGGTCTTGTCTAGTTCTGCTAGCAATTCGCCAAGTTTTCTTTCCAAAG